TGAGAAAATAACACACCACAGGGCAGCTGGGTGGCTCAGTGGCTGAGCATCTGCCTTTGGCCCAGGGCGTGATCCCGGTGTCCTAGGATCAAGTCCCCCCACATTGCACTCCCCACAGGGAGCCTGTTTCTCCCTCTGCCTGTGTCTCTGCCTCTCTCTGTGTGTCTCTCATGAATAATAAGAAAGAAGAAAAGAAAGAAAGAAAGAAAGAAAGAAAGAAAGAAAGAAAGAAAGAAAGAAAGAAAGAAAAGAAAGAATGAATGAAAGAGAGAGAGAGAAAAGAAAGAGAAAGAAAGAAAAGAAAAAAGAAAAGAAAGAAAGAAAGAAAGAAAGAAAGAAAGAAAGAAAGAAAGAAAGAAAGAAAGAAAAGAAAGAAAGAAAGAAAATTATCGCACCAATCCAAATTAAAGAACTTCCTACAAAACAAGCAATCAATACTCCAAAAGTGCCATAAGAGATAAGGACAGACTGTCAGAGACTGGAGGTTTGGAAGGCAAAACTAAATTCAATGTGGTATCCCAAATTCAATTCTACAACAGAAGAATTCTAATGCTGGCAGAAAAGCTGATGAAATCAGGTTATAAAGCCTATATAGTTAAGTGTACTACATCAGTGCTAATTTTTCAGTTCTAATCATGGAACTAGGGTTATGCACAATGTTGACATTAGGGGAAACTGGGTGAAGGTTACATGAAGTACTCTGAACTACTTCTGCAAATTTTCCAGAAGTCTAATATTATTGCAAAATAAACAAGTAAAAAAATATTATTTGTATCCTCATGAATATGAATCTACAACACCCTAAGTTCCCTGAATTTTTGTGGATACATTAAGGATTAATGATCGGGGATAACTGAGCAGGTTAAAAATGGACAGAGCAACTGGCCAAATGTTTAGCCAAATGACATGATCAAAGGAAATGTGCCAGATGTTTTCCAACAGCTTCACATACAGAGGCACCTACGCTCAGCAGGGGCCCCACTGTAAAAAGAAACCAGAGACACCAACTATGGTTTTAACCATAACATTAAAAATGACCCATAAATATCTTATCCTCTCGTAAGAATTCTATATCCATTACTATTTCTGAATCCTCTAGAAAAAGCATTTCAAAAGTATCCGCCCCATATTTTAACGTACCCGTGTATATGTCCAGAAGCTCACAAAGACCTTATAAGTACTTAATTGAATGAGAGTTGGCATCTTGAAATAAATGTGTTTTTAATTAATTTCCATCCAGGAAGATGTTAATATGGCACTAAGGGTTGCTAAATTTATTTTTTCCACAAAATATTTATTTTCTAATTATCATTAATTCTATTTTAATCAAATCATTCATATTACTATGAACAGTTATGCTACAAAATAAAGATTTTAACATTTCTGTAAAATTAGAATTCCTAGGATAACCTTGGTTAGCTCCTTTATTTGTTTTTGAGGAAGAGCTGGTTCTCTTCTTTTTTTTTTTTTAAAGATTTTATTTATTTACTCATGAGAGACAGAGAAAGAGAGAGAGGCAGAGACACAGGCAGAGGGAGAAGCAGGCTCCATGCAAGGAGCCCGATGCAGGACTCAATCCCGGGTCCCCAGGATCAGGCCATAGGCTGAAGGCGGCGCTAAACCCTGAGCCACCCGGGCTGCCCCTGGTTCTCTTCTTCTTCTATATTTGTTCTCTCCTAGGAAGTTTATAATATAATGAAATAAACACCAGAAATACTCATGGTCATTTTATACTATATACTCACCAAAGAATATTATATATATTTCTTATATACAGCTTAGAAAATCTTTGAAAAACAAGACACCCAGCTTTATCTTCAGCTACCTTTCATTTTGTTAAGTGAAATTATTTCATATGTATGTCAATATTTTCCACTCTGGATTTTGGGTCTAGAAGCTAAGCCTCTTTAAAAATCACATGATTGTAAAGACAGTCCCAATCACTTAACAGAACTGAAAATTTACAATCCTTCATTCTCTTTTATCCTTTATAAACAGAATATAAAGACAGATTGTGAAATAAAGAAGGACTTTTCCCTCCTCCAACCAATACTTAGTACTCAAGTCTTTTTCCTCCATGAATACACTTTGGGGATAGGTACCAAAAATGTTTTACCCTCCTCTTTACATCAACAACTGGGATTAAAAAATGGTAACCGTAATAACACATCTAACAATTACTGGATGCTTCGCTGGTACTCTTAAGCAGCTGAAGCAGGTTGCCCAAGACCACATGGTAATAAATGGTACATGTGATGAATGGGGTCTGGGAGCCTGACCCCAAGCCTGAGTAACTGGCAAGTATACTCCATACTGGCTACTTATTCTAATAAAATAAAACAAGCAGTCCCTAAAGAAACTACAATGGCCACCCAGCTTCAGTGTTGAAGAGTTATCGGGGGAGGCATGTAACGGAGCAGCCATTACTCAGCTTTAGCCAGTGCTGGCAGACAGAGCAGAGGCCCGAGTTGCTGGATTCTTTATTCCTTTATTATTATTTCTTTAAATGAGAAGCTGGCAGTCCAGATTGATATCTGAAGCCTCGTGTTTCAAAATGTTCCCACTTATTCCAAGCTTTTTCTAAAAATCCTATTGGTCTGAAAGGTAAAGGGCCACATTCTCAAGGCAGGGACTTTATTTATCTTTGTGCTCCTAATGCCTAATGTGTGGCTGGCAAATGTAAGTACAAAGAGATTGACTTCAGCTGTTTAAAATCCTGCCAACTTATCTTGGCCATTTTATAACCTTGGTAGGAATTTATTCATTTATTCATTAGGTATTTACTGAGCTACCAAAATGTGCCAGACACTGCTCTAGGCACTTGGAATTAGAACAGTGAACAAAACAGAATAATGAAGGAAGAGATAGAGACTGAGATTATACTTTAGCGGGAAAAATCAGCCCAAAAAACCAAAAGCACATAAAGTCAGATGGAGTGGAGGCTTGGAAAATAAGGAGACGGTTTGCTTTGAATCGAAACTTTGCTAACTCAGAGCTCAAGAATGATGATACAATAGTCCATGCTTCCTAGTGCCATACTGGTCACTCCTCCACAAATATGTTGCACATATGTAAGCAATTTAAAGGAAATGGTATTCTTGAAAGAGAGAGTGCTTTCTTCATAAGTAGAACAATACGATCTTGCTCCTTGGCTTGAAAGGAAGTATTGATCAGTAGTTAGTGAGTCAAAGGTTAATAACTGGGTCCTGATTATTTCTGTTATCAGACTCATGATTGATGGTGTCCTCCGGCTCCTTCTAAATACAGGAACTTCTTTTTGATTGTTGTTACTGGGAACCAAGGAATTAAGCTATTCTCTCAAGATTTAGTTGCAGGGGACAGGGTCAATTATCTCCTGCATCAGAGAGTTGAGAGTGGTACAAAGGTTCCTATAGAAAGGATGCACGCAGTCACCAAAAATGCAAACTTGGAGCAACACAAATCTCACTGGCAACCATATGATAAAACACTAACAATGGCACACAACTCTTCTGCTCTCATGCATTATCATTCCACAAGACCACATGTTTAGTTAATGGAACTTCTCCAGTTTGCTTTGGAAACGGATATAGTTTTGGAAGGCCCAAATGGCACAATCTAGCTATTACTCTTAGACAGCTGCTGGGAGTTAGTGACAGGATAGTTATACTAGGACCATCTAAAAATGCACAAACCAGATCCCTGCTTCTCATGAACTCACTTATATCTATTTAGTTACTCATAATCTGAGTAATTATAATCAAGGATTATGTTTAGAAAAGAAAACACCCTGAAGACAAATTCAAGTTTATATCTTCAAGTAGCCGTTAAGACAATGTGATCAATCCTAAGGCTGGAAGAAAAATGTTACTTTCTCACTGTCTTTACATAAAAATAATTTCACTCAACCTGCTCTTTTGGAAGAAACAATATTGTCTTTGTTAGCTGAGCCTAACATAGATCCCATGCCAATGTAGTTTATTCTTCCCATGGATACAAGCCAAAAGGATATTCCTTGAAATAAAATCACAATCTGTTGAAAGGCTCACAAATCAATTAGGAGAGAGAAGTAATCATTATCACATAACTAAAGAGAAAAAGAGAAAAAGTAAACAAAAATAAACTTGATGCAAAAAAGTAAATCAACACTCAAACTTCCCATTTGGAAAAAAAAAAAAAAACACATTCATCAGTGGATCCATAGTAGATAAATAGCCACATTTAAACAAGCAAAACTTCCCCAAACTCTGAGTCAGATCAAACTATCTCACTTATTATTGTCTGAGCAGGGAAATTTCCTAAGACTCTAACATTTTTGTTTAGTTAATGGAAGTCACATTGGCCTTGATCTTGCATCAAACAGATGAACATTAATAGAGTAATTTAACATAAATCCTTGCTATATTAAATCTAAATATACACATAATGAAATGGTTATAGACCTTTGTTGACCCAAAAGAAATAAATTATAATAGCATTTACAGCATTGAGTAAACATAAGCAATAATAAAGTAACGATACCAATGTATTTATATAGTTGAACAGTTTTTAAAATCTAGAAATAAAATTGTTTTTAAAAGTCTACTCAGATTTACTTTTAGAGAATCTCTCCAGCTATATGATGGCATGCAGTTACTAAAGAAACCCTCATTAATATTCGAGGATTTAGGATAATGTATTTTATTTTTTTTCTTTTTCTGCTTGTCTCATTTCCATTTTTTTAAAAATTCTCCAAATATGTCAATAGGTGAATTTGGCAGAAATGAGGCATATGCCTCTTTACCATCAAGTTATATCAAGAACAGGACTCCACTGCTAACCTCCGCTAGCCAAGGACTTTAGCCACTACCAGCTGAGACTTGCAATCAAGGACAATACAAAGAACAGCAGGCTCACTCATCCAGTCCAACAAAACTTGAAACAACAAGTGATGGTGCTCTTAGGCCCTGGCAGAAAACACAGCTGCGAGATAAAGCCGAAGCTCGGGAAACCTCTGCTCCCTATGGAGCGGCTCTGGGTACCTGCTGCCCGGGTGGCTGGCGGTGGCCCTGGGCGCGCAGCGTGGCTCGGAGCTGGACGGCTGGGAGCGAGCGTACGAGTGGTAGGCGGTCAGCACCACGCCGCCCGAGTCCTCCACTTCCATCCTCAGCCGCGCATGTCCCCGCTCCGGCCCGAGAACAAAGGCAGGGACCAGCATGGACCAGCGCACCGGGACCCGGGCACCAGCGGGGCGGTATGGCCCGTCCAGCTCCTAGGGGCTCGCTCCCGCGGCTGTCAGGGGCGCCCGGGGAAGCCAGCCCCGCCCGCGGGGCAGCCCTATAAGCAGGGACTTAAAGACACGCCCACAAGCCCCGCTGGGGGTGGGGGCGGGGAGTACGCGGCTTGTGGGGGGGGCACAAGAGTCGGGGGCAGGGGGATGGGGGGTATCCCTGTTTCTAGGAAACTGGAAACCCGCTGTGATCCTTCGGGGTTCAGGCTAGCTGCTCTAGGAATTCTTCTTCCTTTGTTTTTCTTTTTCTTTTCCTTTTCTCATCTCTCCCCCAACCCCCCACACACACATACACACCCAAATGGGGGAGGCTTATCCCACAGCTAGTAACATTTCCTGCCTGGCAGCAAGACACCGAAAGAAAGAAATCTTGCCTTGGGAGCCTGGGCTGAGGAGAGGGGCCAGGTCTACAATGTGTGGTCTGGGGAAAGGAAGAAAATGTGACACCCTCTCATTTAAAGCATCCACATCAAAAATTGAAGAACCAGATTATGTTGCTGTGTACTTGGTCAAATTACAATAAACTTGATTTCCTTTTGGGCAGGTAACTCACCCAGCAAGCAGAAAACCTCCCTCCCTCACCCTCAATGCCACCGCAGCAACCAGCCTCTTACCACACCTGACATCCCTTTCCTCCTACTAATCCTTATCAAATTAAGATACTGCTTTCAATTTGTCTGAAAATTGGACTTGATTATTCTGGGCCAAATGCATATTTTGTCCAGAAGTCTTTATTTAGAGAAATGTGTGGCAGGGAGGCAGGTATTAATCAGAAATGATTTTCAATCATTTGGGGTCTGAAATATGTCTTTACGTATATAAAACTAACAGCACAAATGGAAAGACAACATTCTTTTAACCATTTAAAAAGGGAACCAGAAGATGCTAGAGTGACTTCATCTTTCACACCCAGACAGAGTGTTTTACCTGTTGTCTCTCACACTCCCCTGGGAGCTAGAAGGAAGGGAAAAGAGAAGTTAGTTTACCCCTTACCCGAGTACTTACTATACTAGGTCATGCTAGGTATATAATTTCTCATAATCTGTTTCTGTACCTGTGAAATGGGAAAAACAGTATTCTTCTCATGGGGTAAAAGCATACATGCTAGGTTCTCCAGAAATGTTGGTCCTCTCTGCTACTTTCTTCACATTATCAAGAAGAGAGACATTTGTTTTCAAAGGTTGGACAAGCAAAAAAACAAAAAACAAACAAAAACAAAACAAAACAAAACAAAAAACCAAAATGCTTCTTAGAAAATATTTTGTTGATTAAAGGGGTTAGAATGACTAACATTTACTAAAATACCCTTTATGCGTTGGCTCCTGTTCTTTAGCTCTTTAAACAACTCTATGAGGTAGGTAGTATTTGCATCCCAATTTTGTGAATTAAAAATTTATCAAACATCAGCGCATGAAAAAGGCATATACAAAGAATGCTTCCTTCTTCAAAATATATCAGTCCTGATCTTGGGGGTCATGGGACTGAGCCCAATGCTGGGCTTTGCACTCAGCAGAGGGTTTGCTTGAGATTCTCTCTGCCTTTCCCACTCATGCTCTCTCTCTAAAATAAAATCTTTTAAAATAAATAAATAAAACTTTGAGGCCAGACAAGTTTCAGAATTTAAATATCTTTTTTTTTTTTATTTTTAAAAGGGGGATCCCTGGGTGGTGCAGTGATTTGGTGCCTGCCTTTGGCCCAGGGCGCGATCCTGGAGACCTGGGATCGAATCCCACGTCGGTCTCCCGGTGCATGGAGCCTGCTTCTCCCTCTGCCTGTGTTCTCTGCCTCTCTCTCTCTGTGTGACTATCATAAATAAATAAAAATTTAAAATTTTTAAAAGGTAATTTGGTACAGGCACCATTTAATACAAAATATTCTCCTTCCAGTAATTTGGGACAGTACCCTTATTCAAACTTATTATTTCCTAAGTAGAAAGAATTGACTGTAAATGGAATAAACAAAGCCTATTAATAATCTCACATTTATTCAGATCAGGTTTGTCATCAAATCAGTTTTGCTACTAAACTTTTTTAAACATGTAATTTTTATAGCTTTTTGCATTTTGGAATTACCATAAGGAATTACAGTAGTGAAACTTTTTCTGGGCATGGAATTTGTCTCCTTAACATTTTTTTTTCTCTGAACTACAGATTCAGAATTTGAAATACTTGCAGGATATTTCCTTGTGAATATTTTTAGCCATAACTCTGCCTCAAGATGTCCAAAACTACGGTGGTGCTCCCTAATGCCAGCTTCAGCAGCCCAGCCCTCTCTCTTGTACATTCATATTTTAGAGGCCCTGGAGTCACTATGGCTTCCAACCATTCCTCCTATTCCCAATGCTGGGTTTTTGTTCTCATGTCACCATTCCTTGCCTAGGTGGTGGCCATCCTTCTTTGACAAAGATGACTTTCAAACACCTTCCTCTTAAATCCTTCCCCTCTTCAAAGTGCTGGTAGAATGATTCTCCTAAAACATAGTTCCTCCCCTTCTCAAAACCCCTGTTGTAATCCACTTGCTATAAAATAAAGTCCAAACTTCTAGGATAGGTGCTCTAATCTACTTTGACCACCTATTACTTTTTTTACTCCTGAGACCCTGTGACCCTCTCATACCAGCCAGTCCTGCCCTCTCTTATTTTGCCTTTGCTCCTGTCATTTTCCTGTCTAGAAATCCTTAAAAACCTTCTACCTCTCCCCCATGAAGCCTTCTCAGGTTGTTTCTAATTCAAAGCCTCCCCCCTTGCTTCTATTATAAGAACTATCTCACTTGGTCACCCAGTCAAAGCACAGTCAGCCAAAACTGTACACACTGTGTCCACTGCACACACAGCTATTAGATCACAGTGTTTTTTTCCACTGAGCCCACATGTGGTCAAGAAACCCTTCTCAAAACAGCCTCTTCCTCCTACAGTAGCTTTGAGATGAAACTATCTGCTAACCCAGGATTGTATTATTATTTTCCAACAAATTAGTGCCCTTTACTACATTGCAAGCTACTAGAAGGGCTAGTGTCGTATTTTTGTCTTTATACTACAGAGCCCAGTGTTTTTGCAGAGTAGGCAAGCAACAAAGAACATTTGTAAAATCAATGAACATATGAATCAATGAATGAAAGGGATAGTACTCTTAAGTGCAGTAGTTCTAATCTTTCAGGGTAGCCAATGAATTATTATAAATGATTCATAAGTCTGTATGGCACTGTAAATGATAACTGCAAACTAAAGAAAAAAGTTTCACATGTATGTAGTAATATTTTTTAATGTAGGCATATGCTGTTGACTTAATAAAATATAACTCTAACCATTCTTGAGTTTTTTGGTTTCAGAGGGATGGTAGAGTGCACATACTGGGTATTAAAGAATACGCTGTGCAGGACATTTTTCTCTTGCCCTCCAGATCCCCTTGCCACCTTCACTACTCTGTGTGGGGCCCCAGTGGCTCACCTTCTAGTCTATATCTCTGAGCCCTCTTGCCTCTGGTTTCAGGTAGGGTGCCACCAAAGAAAGGTACCAGCAGGACATCTATAGGAAAGGGGAAAAGCCAGCTTGGGTATATATTTCTCAGATTTCTCTTTTGATTTGCTGCCAGCTGGCTCCTTCCACCTAAGGCTTTAGCTCCTGTCAGCAGCCCCCTCCCATGCTGCTCTCTCCAGATTCTAATAATGCTACCTCTACCTAGCGCTTCAAACCCAGGGGTACTCACAGCTCTTGGTGCACCAACTAATCCCCCCCTTTGTCCCTCCTGTACCATTCTTGTTGGTCCTCCATCCACCCACAGTCTTCCAGACAATCTCTTTATTAAACTCTCCTCATTCACTTGTGCTGAGTGCCCCCATCTCTTCCTGCCAAGACCCTGACTGATAGATGTCCCCACTGATATCTGGGGCAGTATCCCATAAGCAAAAACATTAGTGTGTCTGTAGTGAACTATACAAATACACATACCAGGAGGGATAAATACAAACGATAAATAGCCTCCTGTCAGCTCAGGTGATTTATCACTAGATAAGTTCAGATCTGAACAAGTTTTATAGTCATATGATTCATGAAAAAGCTTTCAGATTAGAGAGCTTTGGGGATTTGGGAATTATAGATATGGGATTGTGGACCTGGTAGAGTCTGTTAACATTTTTGGCATTCTGGGAACCACTGGGCTAGGGGTTCACAGCACAAGACTGTGACAGCTGGCTCAGCAGCAGGGTAACCAGGGACGCTGGGAAAAGTTTCTCCATCTGGGAATTGGGTTGATAAACGGCTCCTAGAGTGGACAGCGGACATTTGGAGCACAGAAATAGCACTGGCATTTGGAATAATGGTTAAGAGAAAATTCTACTTTCCTTGCATACTGTTATGTATGCCACTGCAGCACCCAGCACTGGACCAAGAACAGGACACCTGGGTGTCAGCACCAACCCTGCCAACAGAACACAGGACCCAAGCAAACCACTGAATTGCAGACCTGTTTCTTCACACATAGATGAAGCAAAATAGCCTGTATTTATTGAGTACTTAACATGGGCCTGGTTCTATTCTAGGTATCAGAACCTCAATTCATGAAATGCTCACAGTAGCTTTTTGAAGTATTACTGTTAGCATCTTCATTTTACAGTTGAAGAAACGGACTGCATTAACTTGTCCAAGGTCACCCTAGCTAAGAAATGGCAAAGCTGGCATTCAAACCCAGAAGTCTGGCTTCCTGCATCCAAACTCTCAGGTATCATACTTCTCTCTCTCTCTCTCAAGACTTATTTGAGAGAAAGATGCCATGAAAGAATGTGTGTGAATGCAAGCAGGGCGAGGGGTAGAGGGAGAGAGGATTTCAAGCAGACTCTCTGCTGAGTGCAGAGCCCAACACGGGGCTCTGATCTCATGTCCCTGAGATCCAGACCTGAGCTGAAATCAAGAGTTGGACCCTTAACCAACTGAGCCACCCAGGTGCCCCTATATTTCTCTTTCATAAAAGATTTGCTGAGATTCAAAATACATCCTTTATATGGGAATAAAAT